ACGACATCTGTGAAGAAAAATGGATAAAAATAGCCGTAAAAGCGATGCGAGGAAATTACAACTTCAATATAGCTTTCCTTGTGTGACTGACAATGTCTATATAAATGGCAAGGCCATCAAATTGCCATCTTCCACAGCTTTTTCCATGATGATAGAAATGGATTCTCCAATATGATATGCAGCATCACAAAATTAATGACATTTTCATTTCGTATGTTGCTCCAGCTCTCACATGCCACTATTGCCATCTTCAGTACTTTTAAAATTCCATCAAATATTAGGAAGAATCCCAATTTTTATTCAGCAAGTATGGAAACCATGCAAATTTCCAAGTAGGTATATTGACTTGATTTATTTGGCTCACACTTTTCGTTAGTTCTTGATTCTATCCATTAATATTCTAAACTTTTGAATTTTACTATGATTGTGAAGTGGGATCATTTACACAATAGTTTTACTTGTAAAGTGAAGACTAAAAAAGTAAACATTGCCGGTTTTTATTCGGCTATGTTTTTGATAACGCTTCTTTTTTCTCTAAAACCTCCAGGTTTTTTACCCACACCGCTACGGATCCTGGTATAGGTATGATTTGCGTGCGAGGAAAGGCATATGTATATCGGGCCATACTGTGACACTCTGTGTAGACCAGGTGGCTCTTGTGAGTACACACCGTCTTCCTTGCTTCTCGTGAGTTCGACACACTCGCCTCCAACTTTATAAATGTTTAGTGTCCTCTCTAAACTTCGCCGCTCAACACAACATTCCTATCCAGATTGCATCACAGCTCTGTATCTACAATGATCTTTACTGCATGATGTTTTTGATCATTAAATTCTTGTTATTTATAACTTTGCATTCACGATGATCTTCGCTGCATAATGCTTTTCATCGTACGGATCGTAAGTACTATTCGTTTTTAGCTCTGTTTACATAATTATTTTTGCTAAATTATGTTTTTAATCATGCAAATTTTAATTGCTTGTTTGTGGCCTGTATATGTGCATCTTGGCTGCATAATATTTTTCATTGATCAAGTCATAATTATTGTTAGTCTTGGTGCTCGGAGAAAAATTACGCGAATGATTCCCCTATATCAAATATAGTACTCATGTATTTATGGTGAAATTATTGGATGCGCTAAACGCTACTTTACTTTGATACCTATGAAGCTCACACCTGACGAGGTGCTTGCTTGACATGCACGATTGTGGGCTGAATGATGAACAATTATGTAAGTTCATAATGGTGATTACAGAATTTAATTTTGACGGAAGTTCCGAAATAGAGGAAATCAGACAGTAAGCTCCGAAATTTGTTTAATGTGAATATTAATATGATGAAATTTTCAATTTGTTTGAATCATCATGTTGGTATCACAATGGCTCAAATTTATTCCGGTTTCCAGCTTTCATTTAGTATTTAAAAATTTAAATAATTCCAGACGATAACATTCAACGTGATTAATTGTTCATTCTTTTTTGTCGAGGATATATTTGGGATTACATTGACCATCCTCTTCCATGACGTTATCAAATATTCGCGTGCATGCAGGTTGGTGGATGTGGTGGGTGGTTATCGGGTTTCTTAGTTTCTAATATGAAGTAAATTAATTAATAGTTAACGATTCATTTCTTGTTGATTTAGATTTATATAAGTGACATCCGTTTGATTCTTTTTCAGAAATTTTCCTTCGTCAATAGTAATGATCAATATTCTGATAAGACTTTCTGGTGACATTTGTTATATTCATACGTGTAATTGATATACTTTCAAAAAATTGTCACGCAAATTATGCGAACGGATATGTTTTGTCATTTTCTGATTTTGATAATGTATCACACCTTTCCTCGTGGATAAGACGTGACCAATCAAGAGTACGACATCAGCGTCACACTCGGTTATCAGTTCTAGACGAGACTATCACGATTACTGCAGCTCAGTCTTGTTCCAGTTGTTGTAGCCTCTGCCTTGTTTGTGGTGTGTTCTCTACTGAGCCTCGCTGTGCTGCACCGAGGCTTTTCTTCAAATTTTGCAGTGGATTATAAAGTATTTATAGCAACGACGTATCTCTGCGGGAAAATGTTCAAGTGTTAGGATTTTTGAACGCACCGCTATTTCTTTATCCCGAACTCAATGTAATTGTAGCGTCTCTCCGAGGAGAATTTCAATTTTCCGCGTAGTGTTTATAACTCACGCGCCGGCTCCAAATGAGGTTCACTGCGGAATTTTGTTGCTTGAAATTGAATAATTGAAAAATGCCTGTTCGACACATTTTATTTCATTTTATTTTCGACAAGCGTTTCCATGTATCATTGGACACGTGAAGTTCATTATTGTAATCTTCAATTTAAGCTAGGTATGTAATATTTCAACTTGAATGACGGACTGCGGAATACGACATGTTTATGTCGTTCCCCTTTATCTTCAAGTTGACTTTCACTACATCATTTCAATGTCGGCCGAGTGTAATTTTTATTTCCGTAGGCTAGCTGCCTGGCACCTGTAATGCCTATACAGTGTGCAGATGCCTTGAGCCCGGAATTCCGAGTGACGGAGAACATGTAAGCGAGCGAATTTTGAACTTGGCCCACACAACCAAAAATAAAAACGAGTTTGTAACTCAGACTGTTACACAATCACTTTTTAAGCTCGATTGACCAATCACATACGATAAATTAGCCGTTACGTGTACTTTGACGGCTATGTATACTTTTGTTGGTATATAGGCGAGTTTTGATAGTACGGCCTTTGGATTACAGAGATGAGAGACTTTTCCATCCTAACTCGCTTTGTTCACAAATGCTCAACTCGAAGAAACGGAAAGGGACGGCCTTACAGACACTAGCATGAATTCTTATCAGACAATCCATACTCTCGAGGATATCTTTGCGGCATGGAGATAAAGTGTTCACAATCTGCTTTATCATTCGTTTGCGATTACTTGTCTTCATTTGTGACTCATTTCTTGAGTTCTACTATTTTATCTTATAAGATACCACATCGAGGAAACATCTCTTTTGTTAAATGTTATTATATTCTAACAATAAAATTCAAATGTCCTAGTACAAATTTGCAATAAATATTCATGCACTCAAGTGCATTCATCAGGAAGCGCTGTTCCAGGCTATAGTACACATGTGTGTGTTTTCCGCCTTTGAATGCCTATAATATTGAATATTTTCATCGATTTGATCCTTGAGCGTCCGAAAGAACGTTCATTCAATTAACGATTTTCAATTACGTATCGTGTTATTTTCATTTATTTATGTTCTACAGCTCTCTTTAGCTTATATTTAGAGTCTCGGAATACTTTGACTCAGAGGAATACTTTCAACTTTTAGGTACTCGGAATACTTTGGAAACGTCATTTTCATTGCTAACGCCGCGCCTCCATGAATCGATTTCAAAATTCTGAATCTTCTATCGAAGATGCCGGCGAGCTTCGCAATGGGTGAGTGACTTTATTAATTCACTAATACATCGAGGATTCACGTGTCTCGGTCGCTTCGATGGTGTCGGTATCAGGGATCGAGCGAGATATTCTGATGTATCGGGCAATCTTGTCGATGCAGGTTTCAAATTTGACGAATGCTGTTGCGTGTTGCCAACTTCGCCTGCATGGGTGACTGCAGTTTATGGAACTACTCTCGTGGGTAACTTTTTTTATCATTTTTTAAATGATGAAAGATATCGGTCGTGTTTTCAAAGCACGAGACCAGACCTTGTGGCTGTAAATTAAATGAACGCCTCGTCTTACGGCTAATATCCCTTTTTGTTCTTTGGAGTTGAGACCAATACATAAAAAAATTTTCATTTTACTTTTCCCAAATTAATCTTTCACTCTCTTAATCGCCAAAATAAAACGATTTTATTTAGATTAATTCTAAATAAAATTATTCGAATTAAACCTCATAAGAATACGCTTCTTTATGATTAGACGTTTAGTTTCAGTTAGAAAATTTTATTAACTTTTTAAACTGGCGCATTGCAGACGTGGCTCTGAGATACAGTGGGGGGAAATAAATATTCGTACACTTGAAAAATCGTATTTTAATGTATGTAAGTACACAAACTTAAAGTATTTTTGAATACTATGCGTCTCTATACATAATTTAAATCACTTGGCCTGTTAAGTTTGTGTACTTACATACATTAAAATACGATTTTTCAAGTGTACGAATATTTATTTCCCCCCACTGTATGCCCTGCACGAGGCGCGAGGGCAATCACTGTTATAATGCTAACACAAACACCTGGTTTTATTCAGTGGAATATCGTTAATAACGATTAATTTCCTAGTATTGCACCGTGAACCGTGTAACGAGTGGTTAAGTTTTCCCCACCGTATGTAATGAGAACACGTGCAGCTTCACTCATATTCGAAACACGACATCCCAATCGTTTATCTCAGCGACGCCTTACCCTTAGCTCAGGATTTATTGAAACAGTATTTAACAATGTCTACTCAATAAAATACCTATCATTATTGTTCATAAAATAGAAACAAACGGTATACCAATTCAATAATGTGCGGGCATGTGAGACAGGCATATTTGATAGACTGCCATACAATCAATTGACTCCACGGATTGCTGCATACCAAATTATTTTATTACTTTTGGAGTAAAAAATGTGTTCTTAATTGATCCAAATATGGTGCCTTTTATGCTTCATAAAGGCACTGAATATTATCGCGTGCAGTTATTAAAACTAGTTGGTTTTGTCTTGGCAACAGCTTACTGCTTTTGTGCATTAAATACAAGAGCTCATATGGGAAGCAAAGTTCATTGCTTTGAGTAATCATTAGATTACTATGACTGAGATAGTTGTGATTAATTTATGTACTTTATATTTCATAAATATTTTGCAATATTGAGTACCTAATAAAATTTGAGTAATCATTAGACTACTATGACTGGGATAATTGTGATTAATGTACCTACTTTATATTTCATAAATAGTTTTCAATATAGAGTACTAAGAGCATGTTTGCATTGCAGTGAGGTGAGCATCTGCCAGGCGCGAGCGTCTGTGATGCTCTACGATGACGGCACCAAGAAGTGGGTGCCCGCTGGCTCGTCCTCGGGACTGTCCAAAGTGCAGATCTACCATCACACCGGCAACACCTCCTTCAGAGTCGTCGGCAGGAAGATCAATGATCACGAGGTGAGATATGGCAGAGATCTTTCTCTGTTGGGAGAGATCATTCCCTGCTGGGAGAGATCATTCCCTGCTGGGAGAGATCATTCCCTGCAGGGAGAGATCATTCCTTGCTGGGAGAGATCTTTCTCTGTTGGGAGAGATCATTCTCTGCTGGGAGAGATTATTCTCTGCTGGGAGAGATCATTCCCTGCTGGGAGAGATCATTCCCTGCTGGGAGAGATCATTCCCTGCTGGGAGAGATCATTCTCTGCTGGGAGAGATCATTCCCCTCTGGGAGAGATCATTCCC